ACGGTGTCCCGATATTAATTCTTCAAATTCCGGTTCCTCCACTTTTGACAGAATTTTCTATGCATTAAATTATCTGCATTTTCATAATCAGTCCGTTTCTTTTTTACAATCACTTCCACGATTACTTATATGTTGTCATTAGCAAGAGAATCGACGTTGCATTTAATCTACCTTCGTTTGTACGAAAACAGTTTAACATTTTGTCGCAACACGAGTGCCACTTGAGCTTTGCTTTTTAATGCAAAAAAATTTCTTGTAAGATCAATGGACTTTTTTCATTAACTCTCGCTCCTCCACAAGTACAGCGGAACCTCCGTTACATGGGCCAATTGGGGCGCAAATGTGCTCGCATAAGAGAATTTTCGCGTAGTAGAGCAACAAGCGTTTAGCACACGGATTATACGTATGTTAGATGTAGAAATGAATTCTTCGTTTCATCGTGAAAGTTTCATTTAAGAAGTATGGAAACAGATCAATCAGCGAAATAATTTCCATCGTTCTTGATAACCTTTCGCCATTTCTCTGGCAGCTTGCGAATACCATCGCGATAGAAACTCGATGGCTTTGAATCAGTTATGTGAATCCAGTCGAAAAGAGTCCATTTCTACGCCTAATATAATACTTGAGACAAAATCGAAAATGCAAATTCAAAATTAAAGAAATTATTGCGAATAAATTTCATTCTACAGAAGCAAGTCACTTTCTATGCTTACATACAGTACTGTATATAGAAAATGTACCGTTCGTATAATAGAACGTTCACATAACGGGTGTTCAAATAACGAAGGTTCTACCGTGCATCCCTTCCTTCGCACAAAGTATTGCAATTTGTCGACATATGTTAATTGCGTTCCAGAAAATTTCTCAATTCACAATATTACGCTACAAGTAGACTGAAAATTTTGTCGCAATAGTTGCACTAACAATAAGCGACAGGCAGTCGTTGACTGCGTTGACGGGGTCTTCTAGTGTGACGGCCGCTTTTTTAGGCCTTCTTTGCTAATTTATTACAGAAGTACGGTAACAGTTGTTAACATGAGCTTTATTCCTGTGTATTTACTTATCCTTGAAGAATCGTTACAAATTTTTGTTGTTGAAAAATAATTAAATATGGCTGCTGTGGAACACGTCAAACAGGAGCTTGAGAAAAAAAAGTAGGTCCATGGTTGCCATGATTTGAGCTGTTCTGCTTACCAGAAATAGAAAAGTCCAATTGATTCTTGTTTAGTATGCATGTCGCTATGGTCGGTAGTAGAATAAAAGAAAAATATTGAAAATGAAAAAAATGGCGGCACTTTGAATACAAAGTATCGATTTTTTCGACTTTTTTTGTCTTTCAGAGGCTCCGAAAATCAGAAAAATGTATATTTTGGCATAATTCTACTACCGACCATAGCCACACATGTTCTGAAGACATGTGCAAAATTTCAGTTCGATTGGTTCGGTAGTTTTTGCCAGATCGTGGCAACCGTTTCAGAAAACATGGTTCCGAGAAAAACGCGTTTAAAGTTTTCAGTGCAATTTAGATTCTCCCTTGATGTGTCACACTAAACGAGCTATAACTTCGTTATTTTATTGAATACAACTATAAAACTTCAGGAGTACATTCTTAAAGAGTTGTACTTTCGATATATGCAAAAAAAAAAAACGATTTTTTGAAACCGTCACACTAGAAGACCCCCTTAACACTGGAAAAACCATCCGGGTCAAAAGTGACCCATCAGCAACTTTCCAGAAAAAATGAATGTTCGATACTGGTAAGTATTATCATTTATAACTTTCCCACTTTGTTTTCTGCATCTGTACTTCTGTTTCCGTCGATACGAATCTAATTTTTCAATCACGTTTTAGTTACATAAAAATTCACTGTTGGAAAGTTGCTAATAGGTCACTTTTGACACGGATGGTTCTTTTAGTGTTAAACCAACTTGCTATTCTGCATTTATTCCGGTACGTTGATGAACATATAACTATTTTATTTTCATAGTTATACACACGATTTAAAATAATAGAGGCTATTTACTATTTACTATTTGAAATAATATTTTGCACAGCTCTGTCGTCCTCGTCCACCCTGTATAGAACACCTTTAAACTCGCCATTGAGTTTATTAAGGCAATTCCAATTTTCGTCAATGAGATTAATGATAATGGATTGTCGGTGAACCTAAATAAAACTGAACGACTATTGAATAAAATTTATCTAGATCTCGTTGCTTTAATCCTTAATTCCTTATGTAAACACCAATTTCGTGGACATTTCGAGAAATGCAATTGCCACAAATATTATTCGATGTAACGAAATATTAATATTAAATATAAATATTACAACGAAATGCTGTAACAATAGAAAAAATTGTAAAATAAAAACTATGTGTAGTCAGTGTTTAAAGGTACAAAAAAAAACAGTGTTTCATATACAAACAAATAAATTCTTCAATTAAAAAGTACCACTTATTACACCGAAATATAGACAAAAATTTTTCAAAAGAAGAAAAATATAAAAAGTTTTGAAAGCGTGAAACGTAGGCGAAGAAACATTCAGGGCTTTAAAACGTAAGTTCAAAATATTTTTATTACTCAGTTTACTCCTTAACCCTTTAACCTATAACAACGTGTCAGACTCGTGGCAGAGATTCTGGCGAAGATGTGAGAAAAATAGTTACATTAGTAAGAAAAAATTCATCGTAATCTTAGCTTTCGTTCGAATTCGTAAGACTGAGAATTGCTAAATGTAATTAATCTGTAACAGATTAGCTTTCGTCACCCGATACAGTACTAAACCAGTAAATGGCGGACGCTTAGATGCACAGTCAGAAGAGAAATCATAGGTTAAGGGGTTAAACAGTTTTTAATAGAATAAACAAATACCGATATAAAATTGCAAAATTGACATAACTTTATAATCAGACTGATGGTTATATTTGTAACTTAAGGTAACAAATATAATTAATTTTGTAAGATCCAATAAATTTGGAAAGTTCGTTTCGTAATTTAAGAAAAAATTCGAACCGACGTATCTCTGTTTCTAATCGAGATAGCGACAAAAACCAAAAGGCATTTTGCTCGTTATTTGAAGACGAACCCAACGCACTCCTCAGATTATTCGTAAGGTGAACGGGGAAGTACATACCGGGTGGTTTGGAAAGTTCGTAGCGAAATGTCGGAAGAATTCAAACTGACATACACTACCGGCCGAAAGTTTCGAATCACCTGCTAATTTACGGTAAAGTTGAATCCGCTGCTAATTTTTTATAGATTTGAAATTGATGTTGCGCAGATCGATAGTATTTTACCTTATTTCGGTTGATTTAAGCGAGGAAAAATCGGTTAAAATTACTAACTTTATTCTGGAAATTTTTGCATAACTTGTAATGCACAGTGATTCCAAACATTTGGCCGGTAGTGTATGTACCTCTGTTTCTAATCGAGATAGCGACAAAAACCAAAAGGTGTTTTACTCGTTATTCGAAGATAAATCCGACGTACTCCTAAAGCGAACTATGTTTCCTGCGGTGGAGCGTTGCCACGAAAAATTCAACACCCTCGCTCCAATGCGGAGAACATAGTTCGACTTATATCCATCCCTGTTCATCTTACGAAGAATTCGAGAAGTGCGTTGGATTCATCTTCAACTGCCGAGGAAAGTACCGTTTAACTTATGTTGCTACGTCAATTAGAAACAGAGATACGATGGTTTAAATTACGACAGGAACTTTCCGGACAACCTAATATATTATTCAATTGAAAAGAGAATATTGTAAATTTATATACATTTACTGTTTCTATGAACTACTATTTTTCATACCTTTCTGTCT